TCTCACTTTTTTTTTTTAAATTTTAAATTTTGCGGGTCGTGTCGTGTCGATCCGTGAGCCGTAACGGGTCGTGTCAGGGTTTGTGTTTTACGACCCGTTTACAAAACGGGTCGTGTCAAATAGTGTACGGGTTAAAAACGTGTCGTGTCGTGTCGGGTTGACCCGTATTGCCACCCCTAGTCTCCACTGGACCACGGGAAAAGAAACTCCTGTTGCGTGTCACAAAGCAAGAAAATATATGGTTAAAATTAATTGGTTGGTTCAATTCAAGTTTCAATTCAAATGATGATGATCGACCATATAAATATCAACCGCCACGTATCAATACTACTCTAGAGCCTAGGATTAAGCCACAACATCCTAGATGCTTTTTATAAGTGAACATTTGCATCTGAAAAGAATTTTATGATGAGGATTTTTTATATATAATAAAATTATGCAAATAAATATAAGAGATGTATTATTTACGATCTCCTTTTTGTTACAACTATTTTTATGATTGTAATTGTTGAATCAAAATTAAATTAAGAGTTACAAAATAATAAAAATAATTGATTTGATTTTGATTCAATAATCATAAAAATAATTGTAAATATCATAAGAGAAAAGAAGGGGTAAGAAGAAAAAATTATAAATATAACCTCCCTTAATAAATAAACATAAAAACACGAAATAAGATACAATTAAAAAAAATCACATAAAGAATTTTTTTTTGTTTTGAGTTACATTTTTTTAAACATTAAAAGTTCAATCCCCAAATTTACTTCAATGCAGAAATTCATCGAAGTAAATATTCTAGCAAATAGCTATATGCTTCATGTGAATAAATGTTTAAGTCATTACGGGGGTGTTAAAAACCTCATCTTAAATAAGAATAATAAATGTAGTGTCCATAAAATAAGAATTAATTTATTCAAGTTAAAAGTTCACATTTTTTAATACACCGAATAGTGACACCGAAATTTGAATTTATAACTTTATTTCAATGACTTAAACATTGAGAAATACAAATATGAATGAGTAAATCTCATATTGATTAAGAATGAATTAAATGAATATCATAAATTCATGTACCTAATATCATTGTTCATTAAATCCATATATCACAGTCTCATCCTTCTAATATATGGAAGACGAATATAACAGTTATCAACTGTCAATTTTTATTTTTTTTTTGTTAGGGAATAAAAATTGAGTTATCACCCATAAAATTGGAGTGATTATAGGTTCAACTGAAACCCAAAAAAAAAAAAAAAATGGATTGCTTCAGTTAAAATTGAATGAAATTTAATTAGTGTTATGTCTCGTGTCAATAAATTAAAAATTCGACCATTTTCACTTGGATTTTTTTTTTTAATTTTAATAAAAAAAATTATGTACATAATACATTGATCGAAATATACTTGGTTGGTTTAGTTTGGCGAATAAATCTCAAGCCTTATTTAAAAAAAAAAAACCAAATATTAAGTGAGTCATGCTTAAAGTTTGCCAAAACCCTTGAATGACAACATTAAGCATTACATATTTGAAATCTTATAAAAACCAGACCGATCCGGCCGGGTTGACTCGAAAACTGGTGAACCGGTCATGTAACCGGTCCGATTTTTATATTGGACCGGCCATGTTACAAAACCGATGTGACCCGGTGCGACTCGGCCGGTTTTTTGTAAAAATCATTGACCCGGTCGGATCAACCGGTGACCCGGCCCGGTCTATAAAAAAAACTAATTTCTTTTCATAAATTAATTTCTTCTTTTTTTGTACTCTCAAACACAAATGATTTGTTTTCTTTTGAAATATTTGAGTGATTTGTAGCTTATTAGCTTACATAGATTATGTATCTACAACACTAATATTATCTTAATTATGCAATATGCAGGAAATTTTGATTTGATTTATAGTTAGAGATGTCGTTTATTGAACATGAAACACTAGTATCACAAATATTATATGTTTGATTGATCTTTTGTTAGACAATGATGTGCAATTTATTATTTTCATATAAAATATTTGAAATTGGTATTTTTTTTACAAGTATTTAAGTATATTTATAGTTTTTTTAATATAAATTGTATATTTACATATACTTACCGGGTCATGCGGTTGAACCAATGACCCAGTACCTCTACCGGGTCAATAACCGGGCCGGTTTTAATAACATTACTACTGCAACATACTAACAAAATGTTAACTAAAATATAGGTCTAACAACAATATTGTGTGTTAAAGTTTTGCAATATTATGTTCTTGAATAACAAGACGAAAACAATTAATAAAAGTGAAAGAACTATCATATAAACAGAGATATTAATTAATTAATAATTTAATTTTGATGTACTGTTAATAAACGTTTACTTATATTAAATAATATATTATTATATTTTTAATAAATTAATTTTATAAATATTTATAGTAATAAAAATTTAATATGTAATGTATTAATACAAAATTAAATGATATTGTAAAAAGATCTTTTTCTAACATTAAACATACAAGATTTGACCTTATTTAAAATAGGAAGCGATAAGTTATATTTATAAATTTTTTGTTTATAAATTTTTACAAAATATACTATGTATTCTTGGGAGTACATAATATATTTTGTAAACAAAAAATTTGTAAATATAACTCTCCTTAAATAGGAATACATGACATTAAGGTGTTACCTTTAGGGTTCACTCACATGTTATAGAAAGATATAATTATTTCCTATACACATATAAAAAAATGTGAGGTTCAAGCGAGAGTGTGAGACCATATGAAAAAAAGAGAAAGAAAAAGAAAATACAAGCACCACATATTTATATAGGGTCAATATTTCTTCAGCTATTTGAGATAAGATTATTTCAAGCTACCCTTTCTAACAATTTACTACGGGTAGCATATAATTACAATGTTAAAGTTTTTTTTTTTCTCTCTCATTCACTTTTCAAAACTTGTCTGTTAACGTGGAGAGAGAGGGAAAAAAAAAGCAATTTTAACATTATAACAATGTATTACTCGTAGTAATTAGGTAAAAAAGATACTTTGAGATAAGCTTATCTCAAGTGTCTAGAATAATAATTTTCCTTATATATATATATATATATATATATATGAGAAAAATATTTCTCAAGCAGCTTGAGATATATTTATCTCTGGTCAGTCCAAAACTACGTAATTTTGTTTATTTATTTTCATATATTAATTGATTCACCTTTGAATGGTTATGATTCCCTTTTTCTCGCTCTTCCTTTATCACCATTGATCTATATTTGTACGGTTATGATTTAGTAGCCAGAGATAAAGTTATCTCAAGCAGTTTGAGAAAAGATAAACCATATATATATATATATATATATATATGCTTTAACGTTTCTAAAGTGAATGTAGATAAGTTATTTACATTTGCTCCTAAAACGACGTCGTTTTGAGTTGAAAAATTAAAAAAATATAATAAAAAGACCATAATAACCCTGAAATAAGTTATAATTACAAAAATACCTTGATTTTCACATCAAAACGATGTCGTTTTGAGTTCAATGTAGATAAGTTATCTACATTGACTGTAGAAAAAACGAACTCATGTATGTATATATATATCGAAAAAAATTTCTCCTTTTTAAGGAGAAATTTTTTCTCCTACTAGTAACTCATAAGTGGGTCCCACCTTGAATTTTTTTTTTCTCTCCACTATTTTGTAGGTCCCGCTTATACTATAAGTCCTTAGTAGGAGAAAAAAAATTTCCTTTAATATTTTCCCATATATATATAATAATTTTATCTCCTATTTACATACACCTAAACACTAATCTCTTCCCACAAAAAAAAACCTTTATTACATACATACAGGCTTTTTGACCATTGTAGTCTTTAACTAATAAAAAATTATCATATTGACCTTGCTTATAAATTATTTCAAAAATTTAACCTTCTCAACAAACATAACATCAATCTACTCCTGTTTGACCATTGACCACCCAGTTACCCGGGTAGACCACCCGGTTACCCGGTTAGAAAATTATTTACATGGGTACTCATCCGGTTACCCTGGTACATATCCTTATTTATCCTGGTACACACTCAGTTACCCTGGTACATGTCCTTATTTTCCAAGCCCAACCGTGAATCCAACTCAAATCCATCAATGAAGAAAACGTGGTTAAATGTGTTTGTAATTTGTAAGAAAAATTCGTCAAGAAAATATCCCCTTTAGCTAGAGCGAGTGTTAGTGAGGTATGCACATTGAGTCCCTCGTCTATAAGGCGTAAAGACATCATTGCATATCCAAAATTTTAATGAACAAGAGTGAAATTATGTATATGTTTTAAATTAATGTAAAGTAAGACGAAATTTTTATAAAAATTAAAAGTTTTAATATTAACTGGTTACAATATAAAATATAATTTTTGAAATTTTCAAAATGATGGGGTTAACATGGTTTTTTTTGTAATTTGGTTATGTGAGATGGCTATTGGATTGAACATTCATATATGTTTTACATGTTTTTTATCTTTTGGTTCTACCAGATTCCTATTATTACTTTACAGTTTATTGTTTGTCTGAGTTGGATTCACGGTTGGGTTTGAAAAATAAGGATATGTATCAGATGAACTGGGTGTGTACCATGATAAATAATGATATGTACCAGGATAACTGAGTGTGTACCAAAGTAAATAAGGATATGTACCAGGGTAACAGAGTGTGTACCAGGATAAATAAAGATATATACCAGAGTAATCGGATATGTACTCGAATAAATAATTTTCTATCCGGGTAATCGGATGATATACCCGAGTAACTGAGTGGTCAATGATCAAACATGGATATATTGGTGAATATTTTATAAACGATGACAAGATGATAATTTTTTATTACTTAAAAGCTACACCGGTGAAAAAGCCCATACATACATGAAATTTGTGCCTTAGCTGAATATGAGTGTGTGTCTGTGACTCTCGTTCACAACCGGTTCACGTCTCTTATTTTCCTGAACGAACCACTGTGAGTGATTAATAACAACAACACCATCGTTCACACAAATTTCAAATGTTGCTGAGGCGTTGCTCATTTGAATGGCCATTCAGGCGCGTTATTCTCTCTCGCATCTTCAGCACCCAAAACGCACAGTTCAATCAAGACGACAACGTTCAGAAGGTTTTCAGCATAATCAACAGCTCCTCCTCATCGGAACAGCTGAAGCAATCTCTGAAATCAAGTGGGGTTTTCCTCTCCAACGAATTGATCGATCAAGTCCTCAAACGGGTCCGTTTCAGCCACGGCAACCCCTCGCAAACCCTCGAGTTTTTCCGTTACACCGGAAGAAGAAGAGGGTTTTACCACACCGCGTTTTCCTTCGACACCATGCTTTACATTCTGGGCAGAAGCCGAATGTTCGGCCACATTTGGGATCTCTTGTTGGAAGCACGACGAGAAGATCGAACGGTCATAACCGCACGCACCGTTATGGTTGTCTTGGGCAGAATCGCTAAAGTGTGTTCTGTTAGACAAACTGTTGAATCCTTTAGGAGGTTCAAGAAGCTGGTACCCGAGTACGATACCACTTGTTTCAATGCATTGTTGAGAACCCTTTGCCAAGAGAAGAGCATGACGGATGCTAGGAATGTGTATCATAGTTTGAAGCACAGTTTTCGCCCAAATTTGCAAACTTTTAATATACTTCTTTCCGGGTGGAAAACCCCTGAGGATGCTGAGGTGTTCTTCAAGGAGATGAGGGAAATGGGAGTGACACCTGATGTTGTCACCTATAATAGTTTGGTGGATGTTTACTGCAAGGGTAGGGAAATGGAGAAGGCTTATAAGGTGCTTGATGAAATGCGTGAACGGGATTTGACCCCGGATGTGATCACGTACACCAGTATCATTGGTGGGTTGGGGTTGATTGGTCAGCCAGATAAAGCTAGAGATGTTTTGAAGGAAATGAAGGAGTATGGGTGTTACCCTGATGTTCCTGCATACAATGCTGCCATTAGGAACTTCTGTATTGCAAAGAGGCTCGGTGATGCATATGGTTTGGTGGATGAGATGGTGAACAAAGGTTTAAGTCCAAATGCTACTACTTATAATTTGTTCTTTAGGGTTTATTTCTGGTCCAATGATTTACAGAGCTCCTGGAACTTGTACAAGAGGATGATGGATGTGGGATGTCTTCCGAACACGCAGTCTTGTATGTTCTTGATAAGGTTGTTTAGGAGGCAGGAAAAGGTGGAGATGGCGCTGCAGTTATGGGGTGACATGGTGGAGAAGGGTTTTGGGTCTTATACCTTGGTTTCTGATGTGCTGTTTGACTTGCTTTGTGATACAGGGAAGTTGGGGGAAGCAGAGAAATGTTTCTTGGAGATGATTGAGAAGGGGCAGAAGCCAAGTAATGTTTCATTTAAGAGAATCAAGGTTCTCATGGAACTAGCAAATAGACACGAAGCCCTTCAGAGCTTGACGGAGAAAATGGCAGTCTTTGGGCGACCACTCCAAGTTCATGAAAGTACAGGTAGGCCAACTGAGACATCAAGTTTAGCTTAGCTTTTTTTCAACCCCTTAATTCCAATTCCAACTCCAACTGATGATGGCAAAATGAAAGGAAGAGCAAGGGGTCTTAATACTGTGGCCGAAGTTGTAGGAAACATGACTCAGAGACCAGTTATGCCTTTCAGAATATGTTGTGGAACGTGTGTTAAGATTATCCAAGAAACATAGCTCAAAAAAGAAGATTGAACAGTTATTTAGGTGAGCCAATATAGCAAGATTAGGTATTCTACGTGATGAGACTTTACTGGCTCTACTGGGACTGTAGTCAGCATCAGCTGTTTGCACGAGTCATCATCTATGCGGAAGGGGGAAAAATGCGCACAGTTTGTCAGACATTTTGCGTAATAGAGCTGTTTGGTAGCCGTAAGCTTGCTATGGTACTCTCATTCCATTGCTAATCTGTTACTCTTAACTTCTGGGAACTCATACTTCAAACTTACAATCATGTTTGTCATGACTTGAAGGTCAGGAACTAAGAGGTGTTTCTACTTCTTTATGATACTTCATATTGACATTTTGGCATTGCTTTTCCATTCAAAATGCTTTAGGAGCTTTTCAAAGAGTTCGAATTCGATGACTTTAATGATCAACTTCTCACCTGGAAATTTGAAGATTCAAGGATCCTGTCCTGTCCATTCTGTCTAAAGATTGTTGCCATGAACTCCCTACCAACGTCAAAATTTTATAAATACATGTCCTTAATATCTAAACCTCCTCTGGAAATCTGGCTGTTTAGATCATGCCATGTCGCTCCAGTTTAAGTCTTGCTTGGCCTTTTTGGCATGCCCAGTTTAACACAAATGAAATGATGTTATATTGATTGACAAGTGCTTCTTGGCATCTTGATGATGAAGAATGAGGTGATCAAGAACTCAACTCAGTAGCCGTCCAATAGTATTCATTTCTTCATCAATTCAATTAGTTAAACTTTGGGTCTTCATAAATTCTCTCATCTTCGATTCATCAATTAGTTAAATTTTATTATTAATATAAATTAGAATTTGATTTTACATAATTGATTTTAGTTGTTAAGAACGTATATATTATACATCATTCCGCGCTATCATCCGAAGGTAAGAGGTGGGTTTCGTAATAAAAGCAACCTCCATCCTCGAATTTGTTGAGTCTTTGTTGAATACATTGCTTCTAACAATCTAAATAGATATATGTATCGTAGGTATAAATATGAGGCTTTAAATAATTCAATTGAATTCACAAATCAAAGGGTAAACAATGCTATTTGGTTATACATTCAAATTATTCTTCAGTAATAGACGGCTGTCTTTTTCCAAAACAAATAATACATGCTCAAGGAATGAAAATCTAAGAAAGGCAAGAAAATCTGACGCTGGAGATCACAAACGCTAAGGTAAAACTCAATTACTCAACTTTTGCACTCTTTAACTAGTAAATCTCTATGCCTGCAAATCACCCAAAGAAATAAAAAAGCGTAAGTTAAAAACTATCATGTAATTTAAATTGCCCAGTCTGTGCACAAAAGACTATTCTGAATTAACCTTGTTTGCAATGTTGTTTGAGAGCCAGTCAAGTCCTTCATAAAGCCCTTCACCAGATGTGGCACATGTGCTCTGGATATACCTGCATGCGTAGAACATGTAGGTGAGAACGAGTGGTGAAAGCAGGAAGATAAGAAAGACCCAAACAGAATATTGAGAGGGAACGTTGAGTTTACCAGTGACGCTGACGGAGAGAATGAAGACCAAGCTTATCAGTTATCTCGGCAGCATTCATAGCATTTGGAAGATCTTGCTTGTTTGCAAAAACTAAAAGCACGGCGTCTCTCAACTCATCCTGCCAAAATAAGATTAGCATCCAAAAAGATCACAGAACTAAGCTGTCAAATCAAATAATCTCAAATAAGCGACCTTTCATATTCACTCAGTCAGGATCTATTTTTTTTACCTCATTCAGCATCCTATGCAGCTCATCCCTAGCTTCAACAACACGGTCCCTGTCATTGCTATCAACCACAAAAATAAGTCCTTGTGTATTTTGGAAGTAATGTCTCCACAAAGGACGGATCTACAAGGAAAAAAATATTAATGGTCACTACATTATTGAGAAAAAATATTTTGAAAATAATTCAAAGAGATCAAACATAATAACAAAAGGTCAAAGGTAAGACAATTTGAGCCAAAAGGCTCTAACTTAAGATACACAAACACCATAAAGTTAGAATATGTGATTGATTAGTTAATCACACTGGTAACGGGCTTAGTATATCCAGAGTCTTGAAATCAAGAAACAGAGACGAAAAAAGAGAATATGCCATTGCCATTTAGTATATGATACTAATAAAAAGATCAAATGTCAGTAGTTAGACATAGAAGATGTAGGGAAAAAATAAATACCTTGTCCTGGCCCCCAACATCCCAAACAGTGAAGCTGATATTCTTATATTCCACAGTTTCCACATTAAACCCTGCACCAATGATATATTAATACAGATCGTACAAGGCACTTACCATTAGAAGGATGGGATAAAGCCATTATGATGCCGACAATGATATTGGTGAGGTAATATCTTTAGGCTAAAAACTAACTTTTCCTTTTCCATGATATATATATATATATATATATATATATGTAGGGTTCGTTTTTTCTACAGTCAACGTAGATAACTTATCTACAGTGAGACGAAAATCAAGGTATTTTTGTAATTATAATTTATTTCAGAGTTATAATAGTCTTTTTCATTATAATTTTTTAATTTTTCAACCGAAAACGACGTCGTTTTCGGAGCGGATGTAGATTATCTACATCCGCTTTAGAAACATTAAAGCCATATATATATTAAAAAAATTTAGAGCTAAAAACGATAAAGCTAATCATCTAGCATTAGAAGATTTAACAGCTAGTTTGAATAAGTCAATTAAAATTGAAGGGAAAAAGAATACAATAATAAGGAAAGAAAGGAAATATTTGGAAAAGACCGAAACCCAAAATTGATCCCTTCCTTCATTTGAAATAGTTAGAAATGTTCCCTCTATTTTCTATTCCATTTCATCACTCTATATAAAGCAGTTGAGACTTGAGAAACTGGAAGAGTAGATAAATAGATAATCCAACAACGGAAGATGAAACATACCAATGGTGGGAATGGTGGTGACAATCTCTCCAAGCTTGAGCTTGTACAGAATGGTAGTCTTACCCGCAGCATCAAGGCCTACCATAAGTATACGCATCTCTTTCTTGGCAAACAGCCGGCTGAATAGCTTGGTGAAAGACAACCCCATTTTCAAGTAACCTGAATCCACAAATCAGCATCACAACACGAGTTCAATTCGATCCAAATTTCCATGGCAACAAATCAAATTCAAACCAAAAAAAAAAAAAAGGAACGGAATATGCAGATGGAGGAGCATCGTCGGTAACTAACGAAGAAGCTCGCAACACGCAATCATGTAAAACGGATGGGAACCAGATAGAATTGCATGCACGAACAACGATAACTGAGAAAAAGCAATTCCAATCTGAGAGAGAGATCAATGAACCGAATAAAACAAGCTCGAGATTCAAATCGTGCGATCTCACGACACGCGATGTAGATCGAGCAAGGACATAAACAAATCGTAAATCAAAATTAGGATCAGAAAATTTGCGACACTAATCTACGATGAAATCCAACGCAACTGAAAATCAAACGAAACTGGATGAAAAAACACTAAAATTCTAGATAAAAAAACCAGAAGAGAGGCCTTTCATTTTGAAAATTGAAATGGCGAAAAGATCCATACACAGAAAACAGATCAGGAACTAGAGAGAGAGAGAGAGAGAGAGGAGCTTGCCTTGAAGAATATATCGATTTGCGAAGGAGATGAACGCAGATCTCTTCTCTTTGCTACAAAGAGAAAAGAGTTGAAGCTGTTCTCACGGCCTGGCCTCTGCGCATTTATAGAACGCGGACATAGATCCAAAATTCGTATGTGGCCGTCATAACGTCGTTTATTCGGTGTCATTATGAGTTGAAGTTTATGCCTCCACAGTAAGTAACTAAATCGAAAATGTTTAATAAGTAATTTAACATGATCATGTCATGATGTGAGAGTATTTTAATTATTAATAATTAAATCAAAGATGATAATTGTATAATTTTTTATCCTTATATTTTTGTTTTCTCCTCTTTTATCACCATTAACTCATCCATATATGATTATGATTGCTTCATATGATATGATCATGTTCATATTAATTAGCACATTACAGGATCCATCCCAAGTAAATGGGACTGGTCCTCAACCGTTATAACGACGCTTGGGCCTGCACCGGTACCGCACAAACGGTTTAGGGATCACTCGGTGTGAGCATTGTTACTTTTAAATGATTTTTTCTGATATACATTCAATCGTACTTAATTCATAATGATATTGCTATAAGTTTGTTTTACATTTTAATAAAAAAAAGTAAGATTTTATTACCCATTTTGACTGTGATTAAGTTCAAACTCAAAATTAGTCTTATAATTGGCTTAAATAATTAAAGTTTTAGTTCTACAAAAAAAACATAACGTCTTATTTGAAAATAATTAGATAGATAATTAGTCTACGCTCCTTTAGTTTATTTAACAACTATAATTGTATTTTAATAAATTCAGGTTGAATTTTAGGAAAACTTTTTTTGGCTTCGTATAACCTTATTTGTTTCCTTTTTTTTTATACATGAACCTTATTTGTTTGCTTTATACTAATATTTTTGTATTGGTTGTTGCCAGATATCTTTTCTCTTTATTTGATGTTGGCAAAAAATGTAAACAAAAATGTGCTTAATCATTAAATGATTGGAAAATTTAGATACAACATTTAATGGAAAAAGTGCAAGGAAACTAATCATATATCTTTACAAAATATAAAATAAAAACATAAAAAGCAGTTGAATTATTAAAATAAAAGCTTTATTATTCTGCAGTGACAGCAGAGAGAAATTTTCTCTCGCTGATTTATCGTTTTGCTTGCTAATTTTTTTTTTTTCAATATATGGATCTTATATAATTTTTTTGTGTCACTCACCGAAGATAATGATTCTCCAGCAATGGGAAAGTCATTTATCTTTTAAAATAAGCTATATTTAAGTTTAGCTTTCAAAAAAAGTGTTATACTAATGATTTCTTATTTTAATAACTAATATTTTTAAGAAAAATTAGAAACATAAACATTAAAAATAAATAAATAACATCGTACTCTAAGCTTTAAAGGGAATACCAGATGCCAGTTAGTTAGTTAGATTTTCGCTTTATAAAGAGTAGTAAGTGAGAATATAACACATGACTGAATATAGTATCTAGTCAGATTATATTTGTAATTATATACGAAATTGTTGACCTGTTAAGATTATTAACTGTTTCTGTTATGAGATTTTTTCAAACTATTTAATTTGGAATTAGATATTGCTTCCATATATATAGTGATACTGATGGAGCAAGGAAGGGTTTAGAGGAGAATCGGCTCTTTAAGTTTATACAAATCTTTAAATTCAAACACTATTTCTAATTTTTGGTCATATAATTAGTGGTCGATCATCCTCCTTAAAACTTATAAAAAAAATTAATTGAAAATACTATTTCTATTTATTTATCATATAAATAATTATAGCCGACCCCTAAAAAATCTGTTCCCCTCCTTTATTGATTACAAATTCATTCTCCGATATTGATATTATAAAAACCTCTCAAATTAATCTTAAACTTGCTTACTTGTGACGTCCATAAATTATCAATTTGATTAGATAAAAACTTCTTCTTATATTGGTTCCAAGTCATATAGCACATCATAATCGTTCGCCCACCAATTACTGTCTCTCTACCTTCTTCCATTCTCACCTTTAAAATGTCAGTGATGATAAGAGGAGATAACTGGGTGGAAAGGTTTGCAAATACCATAGCAATTTAATAGCCTTCTTGAGTCTTAGTGCGATCTGATTCCATTCTGGGGAAACCAAGGCTTGAATTAACTTTATTAATTAATCCAATGAAATATATTAAAACGCTCTCCAATAATTACATTTCGCTTGAATGACTTCTAAGCAAAATAAATTACTTAACATGGTGAGGCTGAAATATGGGTACAAATTTTATACTTATATGCTGACCTCTTAGGTAGCCTGAACAAGTATATTTAGACTCATATTACTTGAGAGCTGAAAGAAGGCACAGTTTCTTATGAGGCCAGTTGATTCTCTTGCTAATATTTTCTCTTTCGTCATATCTTTGTCATAATTTCCCATCCTCATTTTCACATCTTGGTGATCGTTTGGCGTATGAAGTGGTGGATGGTTAAGATAGCTTCCATTCTAAGGTTCATATTGGAATTTTAGCACCTCTCCCTCTAACTGTGGTAACAAAAGTTGAAAAGGTATGTCTATCATATGATAGTTTATGTTGTATATGGACGACCAAGTTGGGCTGTGGACCAGAAAGTCACTACTGGACCCAAAGCCCAATGACGTACACATTAATCATTATCTTAAGCTTTAGGGGGCTCACCCTCCGTTTAAGCTCACAAAAGGAGTATTTTATGTATGTTCACTTCTCTTCCCACACTCCCCTCGTTATACACTTTCAGACTAACATGAATATTAGAAAATCTTTTTAGGTATCCCAACCCATCTTGAAAAGATGGACTCTTGTGGCCAACCGATGTCGAGTTCTATGTTACCGTCAAGCAATCCTAAGACCACCTCTTCCAATGCAGGCAAGAATGTCTAAGCAATCTTAAAACCACCCTCTGCAATGTACCTGCAAGATCAATGTCAATGTATGGCATCAAGGAACAAAATTTTACTCTTTTTTTTTACTTATAATGTTGTTTTGTAAAGTACATTCATAGATCGGACAAGTTGCGTGTCTAGGTTGGTAGTTAATTTAGAGGTCAGAGCTAGGGGTGTGTATGAATAACATTGAACTGAATCTTTTTTTGAAGAATTAAACCGAATTGGTTTAAACGGTTCAGTTCGGAATTAGTTCGGTCGAACCTATTCTGAAAAGAAAAAATAAAAAATAAATAAAGAAATAAAATAATAAAAAAATCACTAAATATATAAATAAATAAGAAAAATAGAGAAATAAAAAAAGAGAAAAAATTATTCGGTTTATGAATTATTTTTTTAAACCAGTTCGGTTCATGAACTGATTTTTAAAAAGTAGTTATTTTAAGTACAGTTGAGTTGAATTCACAACTCAGTTCAATTTTTTTAGTTCTTTTGTAAATCTCTGATTCGAGCTCATGAGTTACCACTAAGATGATAATTGATGAGATAGATAGGGTGGTAACCCCCACCCCAAACCCAAAAAAAAATAAAAAAATCCTCCTTTTTATATACTAGAGTGAAATAGGGGTGAGTATGAGTAGTGATTCGGAGTATATTTTGTTCTCTTTTCTTAGACTAAATACACTAATATATTTAGAAATTAATGTTTTCAATATTATAAAAAACAAATTTATCTCCTATATATATATTAGGGGTGTTCGCGGTTTAGATTGGATCGGTTTTGGAAGCAAAAATCATTCGATCTAATCCCTTCGATTTGATCATCCATTCGGTTTGGATTATTTTCAAATCCAATCCGATCCAATTCAATTTTTTTCGGTTTGGATTGGATCGGTTTTCAGTTTTTTGAAAATCCTAAAATTTGTTTCATGATTATTGTGCAAATAACATATTTTGTATATATTGGCCTTGTAATTTTATTTTTTTTGAAATACAAAAGCATCATTAAACGATAATATAATTGTTTTTTTTTTTTTGACAATAAGATATGAAGCTCTACATAGAGGAAATTTTGTTGATGAGACGTGACTAGGTTTTTTCTTGGATTTAGTTGATGGGTTAATGCATCTTGAGTTTAGAAATTTTTGGGCTATGATTGAGGAAAGACCCGAGTAGGTAGAGGGGAATTAATATATTGGATTGGTTTGGATTGGATCGATTTTCATCAACCAATTCGAAAATCGATCCAATCCAATTAAAATTTGCAGTTTTTTTTAGTTTTTCAGTTTTCGATTTATTCGGTTATCGATTTTTCGGTTGGTCACCGCAGTTTGAATCGATCGATGAACACTCCTAATATATATATATATATATATATATATATATATATATATATATATATATATATATATATATATATATATAAAAGTATGTGAGGCTCATGTGAACCAATGTAAAGAGAAGAGAGAATGAGAAAACATGAGTCTCACATACTTTTCCATGTATGTAGGAGATAAAATTTATCTCCTACAATATGAGA